TCGTTTTTTTTTCTTAGGTCGGATCAGGCTCGTTAATAAGAAGTGTGTTTGTGACTGACGATTAATAATCGTTAACAACATAATATTGTTGACAATTAATTATGTATCATCTCTCAGAGGAAATTTAACTAGAAATTAGTGTTATTAACATTTATACATAATACAATCAAGTGTGCATCTCTCGCATGCATGGCCCTATTCGCTCCCCCTCTTAACCATATGTATTTTTTGTTTCCTTCCTTTAGTTTTTTTTTCTTTTTATAATTATTAATATTAATGTTATTATTATTATTATTATTATTATTAATGTTATTAAGAATTAGATCGTACTATGAGCTTTGTTATGGCTGATCGTTGAATGTTAAAAAGAATATATATATATATATGTGTGTGTGTGTGTGTGTGTGTGTGTGTGTGTATGTGTGTATATATGTATATATAAAAAGAAACATATTTTTGCAAAAAAACAAGCAACACGTTTAATATAAATAATTCCTTGTCCGAGAACATCAGTCTCTTCTATCTCTCTAATGTTCTATCTTTTTAACGTAAAGAATAAGTATTAATTGAACGATAATATTATTATAAATATATTATCTAATTATTAAGACACATAAGTTCACGATATATAATCGCACGAATCTTAATTAGTTCAAAAACAAATCGAGATGCCTACGAAGTTTCTACTGCGCACGGAAATAAATTAACAAAAAAAAAAAAAAAAAAAAAAAAAAAAATAAAAAAAAATAAAAAAAAATAAAAAACAAAAAATAAAAAAAAAAGGAAAGAAAAAGAGAGAGAGAGAGAGAGAGAGAGAGAGAGAGAGAGTGAGAGAGAAAGAGAAAAGAAAAAAAAATCATGATTATTTCAATCAACCTAATTAATCCAATTGATTGACTAATTAATTTTCTACTGTTCGTTTCTATGAAAAGAATAAATAGAAGATTATCATGATTATTTTAATCACACCCTAATTAATCAATTATATTCTTATTGTTCGTTTCTATAGAAAAATGAGTGGATGGTCAGAAGGAAGAGGATAGGGGAGCGGGGGAGAGGGTTGAAAGTTGTCGGGGATGAGGGGGATGATGGTAATCTATTAAATCAACTGAAGTAACGGTTCTTCAAAGGCAATAATCGATAATTAATGTTAATGGAAATATTAACGTAACAAGACAAAGAAAGAAAGAAAGAAAGAAAGAAAGAGAGAAAGAAAGTAAGAACGAAAGAAAAAAAGAAAGATAAGATTATTTTTTACTTGTTTTTTTTTTTTGTCTTTTCTTTTTTTTTTCTTTTTCTTTTTCCATATTCGATCGCTACATTATTTATACAAGAAACATTTTCTTTTATTTTCTTTTTTTTCCCCGTGCAATTGCATTAAACGGATCGCGAGCTGACATGGCACGAATATGTATATAGATACATATGTATGTGTTTAGGTATGTATCTTAATTAAAAACGTGATTAATAATACGAATTAATCGTAATGGATGAAACGTTTCTCATTTAGTTAATTTAAAGATGAAGAAGCTCGAGATGAAAGGATGAGAGGATTAGAGAAAAAATGAAAATTAACAAAACATTACAAAACAAAACAAAACAAAAAAAAAATTAAAAAAGGAAAGAATCTAAGAAAGATCCTAATGCTTTTCTATTCCATTTGTATTTACAAAGCCATTGGCATAAACGACCCGTCTAATGTTTCCTGTATTAATTACATTGCTCTTTTTTTTTTTTGTTTTTTTTTTTTTGTAACACGTTCATGCACTATGCTTGAAGCTGTTTTTTTTGTCTTTTTCTAATTATTAATAATGAATTCTTGCTTCTTCATCTTTAACTTATATAATTTTTAAGCTTAAATAACTTTTACGCTTGTTAGATCGTCAAACCTTTTCTAATCGTTCAGAATAATAATAATAATATTAATAATATTAATAATATTAATAATATTAATAATATTAATAATAATAATAATAATAATAATAATAATAATAATAATAATAATAATAATAATAATATAATATAATATAATATAATATAATATAATAAATTTATCGATGTATCTCTTATTAAGAAAAAGAAAAAAAAAATATATATATATAATAAAAAAATAAAAAACAAATCAGAAGAAACGATTTTTAATCGTTAAATATTTCGTTATGTAATTATTATACGGGGTACGAATTTTTTTTCTAATTCATCTATTATATGCGTTGATAAATATATACATATATATATATATATATATATATATATATATATTATATTTATTTATTTATTTATTTGTTAGAATACGTATATCTGACAATTAATAATAATACGAAATATATTCTTGGGAACGATGACACGTTTAACATGTCGTACACATGTCGTAGAATATATATAAATATTTACATATATATATATATATATATATATATATATATATATATATATATACATATATATATATACATATACATATACATATATGTATGTATATATATCCCTCTTTAAAATAAGAATATAAAATTATAAAACTATCAACAAATATACATTATATATCGTTATTTAGAAAAACCTTTCGAGAGAATAGAGAGATAAAAGTTTCTAAGAAGATTAAAAAAAAAAAAAAAAAAGGAAAAAAAAAAGAAAAAAACTATGGCGTGCTGAGAGAAAAACATTTTGATTAATATACCGGGTGTGCGTCAGTCAACTTTTTTCTCAATCGCAAAAAAATGTAAAATTTTTTTTCCCTCGTTTCTTTATAATAAAAAGAAGCTTAAAATTTTTTTTTTTCTACATTAGATTCGTTTCTATCCGTCTGCCTTTTTTCAGATTGTCCAAAATGTTCTATAGGCCCATGTTGTTTCTTTCTCAATTG